CCGGTTGTGAGGAAGTGTTCAACAAGCCATGGCCTAGCATATGATCATATTCGTCACAATACAATGCATGTGTGTAGGTGTGTGAAGCATTTTGCCGTGGTGTAATTGTTCAAATCGAAGAAAATTCACAATGAATATTAATTCTGTGATGCCGCAAACTATTCTTGAATCACGCAATATCGACGGTGATTAAGCCACTTAGCTACACGTTCCTGAAACCACTGTGATATGTTCAGTTTCCCAGGAGCCTCGGAAAAGAACAAGAGACCCTGACAGCACAGCGACCTGTGACGGCGACAGCCCAGCGCCCTGTGACGCCTGTGGCGGTGACAGCACAGCGACCTGTGACGGCAACAGAACAGCGCCCTGAGACGCCTGTAACGGCGACAGAACAGCTACCTGTGACGGCGACAGCCCAGCGTCCTGTGATAGCAACAGAACAGGGCCCTGTGACGCCTGTGGCGGTGACAGCACAGCGACCTATGACGGCAACAGAACAGCGCCCTGTGACGCCTGTAACGGCGACAGAACAGCTACCTGTGACGGTAACAGAACAGCGACGCGGCGAGTGGAACTGCGTTAGGGACAGGTAAGTGTACATCTCGTATCTGACAAGGGTTTTAAATCCATGAGGCACATCGGCTGCTCGCATGAACTGAACTGGTACTGTGTAAGATATGTGACGGACAAGAGCACTCCACAAGTTTCAAGTCAGCTACAAAATTACATGCATATAATACTTCATACTCTGAAATACGGGTATAGCGTCTCTTGGCTTAATTGTTAGGAATGAGAGAATTTTGTCGGATATTTCTTTCCTCTTAACACTGAAGTTTCCGTAGGTTAGCTGAGTAACTCCACCAGACTGTCTAGGCAGTAGGTGTACAGCCAATTAGATCAGAGCCACTCTCTGCTTCATCCAATAAGAGTCAGCACGAGAAACGTTCAAATAAATCTGCATAAGTAAAGCAACTATGAACTCCATCTCAGTTTTTATCATGTACGTGCATGACAGTGTACATCTTCCCCGAGTATTTAGCCACTAGTGGGTGCACTCCCTCTCCTTGTTCATGTCTGCCAGTTCATCGAAACAAATTGCCTCATCCATTGAATTAGACGCGAGAGCTACATCATTCCACTTTATGTCGAGCCTCCATATGTTCCAGCAGTAACGTCGTTCCATCTGCCCATGTGTTCCTCAATACAATAAAATTATAATGATGCGCACCATCCAGTAACAAAGTGTGACTACTCAGCAGACCGTTTTGAATCAGACCACGCATCTGTTTGTTGTTACTGAATTTCTCCTCCATTAGTTATCTACCGATGCTACTTCAGCATGCAGACTGTAGTGTGATTGAAGGTTTGGAAGCATCTCGAATGAAGTGGTCCAGGCCTATTTCAGGACTGTTGATAGAAGGATGAAGGAGAACAATGAAACCCCACAGGCTGGACAGCCAATATCCCGACAGACATCCGAAACTAGAGCCTCCCAAACTGACTCTCACCTGTTCTGTAAGACTGGGTGTTACTACTGAGTTTAGAGTGGAGGAGAATCTAGCAACTAAATACACATCTACATGTACTATTTGTGTGATGCATCCCCACTTTGTGTCTACAGGAACGAAGGCAGCCACACAGCGACATGTAGCACAGGCGACCATGCAGACTACACTCTGCACGAGGGAGAGGCGCACTGCTCAATGCTGAACCGTGCGGACGCTGTGGAAATGGACCTGATGAGTGCAGCGGAAACTCAGGGGGGAGCAGAAAACTCAGTGTCTGAAAGAAATGAAAACGGACAGACACTGAGTTTACCAGCTCCTGAACTGAAAGAAATGGATCCACAAGCAACAGAAGAACGGCCCTTGAACGCAAGTGCAGAGCAGGTAAGCCACTGCACCATGCACTGTGAGTGCGCTTGTAGCTGGGAGGTTAATACGAAAGCTGGCTGTGAGGATGTAATATTCTGATGATGGGAAATGGATTGAGTCGCTCCTGGAGAAGTAGAGGAGTTCCGTGCAAACCTCACATACCTGCTTTCCTATTGCAAACATCTCCACCTCCTCCTCTCCCGTGCCCGTATCTTTATATTTCTGTTTAGGCAATGCAGGCTGATCTCAGTCACCGTGTAGGCTAGGAAGGGCATGTTTCCTAACAATCCAGTGAGGGTTTGTTCGTTCGTAGCCCAGAAGGGATGACATTTGCATGCGTTTCATCTTTGCTTGCTTGTGTATATAAAGGGAGCAGTTATCATCCTGCAAACACTGAAAACAGAATCTGAGGAGAGTAATTTGGCAAAGAATTCTTCAAGCGACGGCATGTGCTGTTTGTTGTGCCATTTCCTTCTTCCTTTCTCTTTAATGTCTCTGTCTGCAAACATGACCACTTTCTGATTGGCTGCGATGGTTTCAGGTACAAACGGAACTGGAAGTACCAAAGACTGACAAACAAATGAAGAGACTTGAAAAGGAAAACAGGAGACTAAGGAAGATCCTTAAAAACCTGACAGAAGTAAGTAGGTCTACGTCATGTAAGAATGGTAATATTCTGTATGGAGCAAAATACGAGGTTATAATGACTTGTAAAGTGGTGAAGTCAAGTTTGGAATGCACATTAACATTCAAGTCTTACAGTTAACTGAAATACCCTACGCTACTTTGTTTAAATCTTCTGTTGTTTGTTACAGAAGCACTGGTTTGTTCCATAACTTACTCTGCCTGTTTTTATTGTGAGATATTTTTCTTTGTTTCATCCTTTTATTTCTGAACATGAGCTTATCCTGTGGTTGGTTTTAATGTCCTCAGGAGCGAGGAGAACAACTTGATGAGGAATTCGAGCCTCCCAGCATGCAAGACGCTCTCTGTCAGAAGAATTACATGAGGAGGGTAAAGAAGCAAACCAAGAAAATGGAGGACCGCATTACCAGTCTAAGAGCTGTAAGTACTGTCTATCGGAAGAACATAATTTGCATAAAATTCAGTCACATTTATCTTAGCAATCCCAGCTTAGAGAAAACTAAAACCCAAGCGTCACGTCTTCCTGACTGGCATGAATAATAATTATGGGTTCTGGATTCGATGAATAAATTTATTGAACACTCACAAGACATAACTAAAATTATTACAACGCTGTAAAGATTACTGTAAATTTAACACACAAAATTAAGTCTTCAACGTCTGCATGGCAGTCGTTGTTTGGCAACGAATCTTATACGGTTAACACTTCAAATATTCAACTGCTTCTGAATTTTCTTATGAATGACCCCCAATTCGTTGAGCGAAGTCTGTCTAACAAATTCATGAATCCACTGACTTTTATAACTGTCATGCGGTCCTCATAGAAGTCACCATGTTCAAGGATTCAGTTTTTTCTTTATTATTGCTAGCAGGGTGGGACTAAGTCCCTCGTACTGCGGCCACTTCTGGCCTATTGTACCAGCCCCAGATGATAGGTGAAGGTGATTGTGGAGCAATTGCTGGAATGAAGATTGGCAAGGGAAACCGAAGTACTTTGAAAAAACCTGCCCCAGCCCCACTTTGTCCACCACAAATCCCACTTGACCAGACCCGGGCTGGAACCCGGGCTGCCACGGTGGGAAGCCAGCGACTAACCGCTTGAGCTATGGCGCAGCCAGGGTGGGACTAAGTTCCCTGTACTGCGGCCACTTCTGGCCTATTGTACCAGCCCCAGTGATAGGTGAGGGTGATTGTGGAGCAATTCGTGGAATGAAGATTGGCTGGGGAAACCGAAGTACTCGGAGAAAACACGCCCCCGCGCCACTTTGTCCACCACAAATCCCACTTGACCAGACCCGGGATCGAACCCAGGCCGCCGCGGTGGGAAGCCAGCGACTAACCGCTTGAGCTATGGCGCGGCCTTTAGGGTTCAGTTGCTGTTCTTCATTAATCCGTTGTGTCGGAATCTTGTGTCATTTCGGGGCAACGCTTTGATCCCCTCCAAGCGTGTTCGTTGGCGCGAAACTTATAACCATTGGTTGTGTAACAATGGATCATATTCGTTTCTGCTATCATTCCGGTTTTTAGGCAGTGTTCAACAAACCGTTGCCTAGCATATGAGCACATTCTTCACAATACATTGTGTGTGTGAAGCAGCTTGCTATGTGTAGTTATTCGAACCGAAGAAAACTCGTGTCGATATTAATTCTCTGATAAGCGGCCTCCGTAGTCTAGAGGTAACGTTCCCACCTCATGACTCGTGGCGGAGGTCGTCGAATTTTTAAGGGCGGAAAAATTCAGGGAACAAGTCCTCCGGGAAGGACTTTAAGCCGTGTGTCCCGTGTCGTAGCTTTACGGCACGTAAAAGAACCTCATATCTCCAAAGGAAGTCACTGAGCCAAATTCAAGGACGTTTCCCGCCCAACAGTAGTCTCTAATGCCTCTGATAGATGGGGGAAGCATTATAGATACCGCCAAGCCAGTAGAGAACTCGCTGGCTCGGTCGGGACTGATGGTACGCACCAATATCGGTAGGGTATAGAGACTGGTAGAATATCATAGAGGGAAGCACAATAGATCAAACTGGTCGCGATGCATGGGGTAACTCACCCTCTCCAATAACTAACTAACTAACTAATTCTCTGATACCACAAACTATTCTTGAACCACACAATACCGACGGTTATTAAGCCCCTTAGCTACCCGTTCCTGAACCCACTGTGATATGTTCACCTTTCAGGCGCCTCCTAACAGACCAAGAGACCTTGACAGCACAGCGGCCTGAGACGGCGACAGCCCAGCCACTGGCGAGGGCGACAGCCCAGCGAGAGCACAGCAACTTGCGACGGAGACAGCACAGTCACCGGCAAGTGCGACAGGCTAGCCGCCGGCAAGGGCGACAGCACAGCGACTTGCGACGGAGACAGCACAGTCACCGGCAAGGGCGACAGCACAGCGACTTGCGACGGAGACACCACAGCCACCGGCAAGTGCGACAGGCTGGCCGCCGGCAAGGGCGACAGCACAGCGACTTGCGACGGAGACAGCACAGTCACCGGCAAGGGCGACAGCACAGCGACTTGCGACGGAGACAGCACAGCCACTGGCGAAGGCGACAGCCCAGCGAGAGCACAGCCGATTGTACAAGATTAAAATATCGTTCTTATTGTATATGTTATTTAGTAGTACAGGGAGATCGAGAAGTTGCGCACATCACATTAAGCAATTATATTTTGCTGGTTTAATGCACAAACTACAAGGCATACAGCACTTACTATTAATGTTTATAACCTTACATCTTAGAAATGCCAAATAAAATCATGTCTTTACAAGTAAAATAAATCTATCCCTGTACCAGGCCGTGAAGGCCCATAGGGTTGTGAAACGCTGAGGGTCCCACATTATCTAGACCAGGCATGTCAAACTCAACTTGTGCAGAGGGCCACCTCAGCCCTATAAATAATAGTCCAGGGCCGCACTTCAAAATATAAATATACATTAGATTTTGATACAAGGAAATTTAATTCTATTTATTATTTAGGAATAATTTCAATATAATTACCTAAAGTCACATATCTTAGTTTTAAAAAGCAAGAGAATGCCATTTTTGACAAATATTAAACAACTTTTCAATATGTAAAATGAGAGATTATACAAGAAATTATGTTAGAAATAGCAATGTTTTTTTTTTTGTTTATAAAGTCGCATGTTTATTCAGTTTGTTATTAATTCAATGTAGTCAGTAGTGTGTTTTTCTTGAAATATTCGAATGGTGATAATTGATGAAAAACTATATAAACAATAAAAATTGCTATATAACCAAATGAACATTTATTAAACTACTTACATCACTGGTTTTTACTTGAGAACTGGCATCTTTTCCGGGATACAAGAGATTTAATGTCAGCTACTTGACTCTGTGAAGATGCTATTTTTAGGATGGAAGACAAATGTTCTGCTGTGAGTCTTGATCTGTGCGTGGTTTTGGTTGTCTTCACAAGCGAAAATAACTGTTCACAGAGGTAGGTGGAACCAAACATGGCCAGTATTCTCGCAGCAAACTGGCGCATTTTAGAGTACTGGCTTGGCAAATAAGAAAAAAATTGAGGGATACCAATTTCATTATATTTGTCTTTCAGTATTGAATCACACTGCACTTCAATTAGTTCCATTTGAATGTTACTATCTGCCTTCTGAATATCGCATGAGAATGAAGCCGTAAACAAAGAGAAATCGTTCTCGCACGATTTGAACTCTTTAAACCTATTTTCGAAGTCATTAATTAAGTCCTTTATTTGGGAAACATAATTGGTAAAATCAGAATTACTGTGGGACTTTTTGAAATCCTTGCAGGTAGGAAAATGAATTAAGAATCACTTTTCCTGCAGCCTGCTAATTTATGTCTGCGTGAGACTTCTTGTCTTCTGGTCTGTTGGAAAATTGTCTTTACAAAAAATATTTCTACTAAAATTTTAATATTAATTTTAATATCAATTAGCTCTAAAAGTTGAGGGGCCGCACTTTGTGGCTATGGGGGCCGCATGTTTGACACGGCTGATCTAGACAATCGGCTCAAAGATGGCGGTAAGGTTGTCAGCCTTACGCGCCGGCCGCGCTTTACTCCCCAGGAAAATTATTTAATTAATTCCTGGTACTCGTTTCTGTTAGAGGCTGAGTAAACCCCAGGGCCTGGTGCGGCTGGAAGGATTAGGTCAACTGAAAAAAAATCCAATGACCTCATCGGGACTTGAACCCGCGACCTTCCGGCTTGTAGCATAGCCCTTCACATGTCTTTACAACATACGCTCGAAATGGCTTCCCTGTTCAGCAATGCATGCGCGACCTCTTTTTACCATGTTTGAGGCCACTTTGTGGAGCACCTGTAAACTGATGCTGTTAATCGCCGTCGTAATGTTCCTCTTGAGGCCATCCAGTGTATGCAGATTGTTTTTATAGACAATTCCTGAGGTACTCCCAAAGGAAAAGAACTGCGGGTGCCAAATCGGGCGAACGTGGGGGTCTCAATCCTTTCGAAATGAGACGGTCACCGAAAACTCGCACAAGAACTGCTTGGTTTCATTAGATGTGAGACATGTGGCACCGTGTTGCTGCAACAAACACTCACGTTCATCAACTTCTTGGCACACTGGACAGTTCACTGTTTTGTGTCGCTTATAGATTGAGATTAACTACTAAGCACTTCAGTCCATCACATGTGATAATCTGCTGCCTATTCATTTGACCCCGTCAAGGGGTGGGGTGGGGGTAGGCTTCCGTTTAATTACGTCATATCGTTTATTTTGATAATGTTCAGATTCATATTCTGTTAAGAGTTCTGTGAAGGCGATATATCGCGTTGTCATACAGTCTGACAAAAAAGGACATTAATTTAGACATTAATTTATTTGCATAAACCGTAATTCATTGCCGGGTCATTATTTATATGGGTAGTAATTCCATACGAAAATATATCACGTCGGTTCATAATCTTTCACGTATTATTCCATCTGGCTACACGAAACAGAACAAATTAGCTCAGCGCCAGAGCGTATTACATGTAATTAGAATGTATGATGTTCTAATTTCAACCACTGTATCGTGGTCCTTATCACTAATCCAAATGTATTTATTCATTTCCTCATTTAACGACATTTTCAGTATCTCAGAAAATATAACCCCGAATGGTAACAATACAATGAAGTACGAAAAATGTGCAAGAAAATGCTGTTTGCCTAACTTGAGGTATTAGCCTGACATTAGTCTGGAGGGTCTGCAACAGACCACACATAACCTCACTCAGAATACCTGGTTTTCAGGCCAAGAGAATTCAGAGTGCTAATGACTCGACCATGACGCTCGATGTAAGTACAGCAGAACGATTACATCTGTACAAACATATATACTGTAGGCGAAAATCATCACGTGACTGTCACTATGTTCGCGGCAACAGAGTGACCAGACCACTGAAGTGGGCCCGGTGAGAAGCTTAGCATCTTGACGGAAAAGCGGAGTGCAACTAACCCACGAGACTTCGTTCCACGTTCTCAATTAGAATGCAGCAGCGGTTCTCCAACCTTTTGACATCACCCCTCCCTTTCAGCTTGTACCAAACCCTCATACACATAGGCCGCGCCATAGCTTAAACGGTTAGATGCTGGCTTCCCACCGCGGCGGCCCGCGTTCGATCCCGGGTCTGGTCAAGTGGGATTTGTGCTGGACAAAGTGGCGCTGGGGCGGGTTTTCTCCGAGTACTTCGGTTTCCCCTGCCAATCTACATTCCACCAAATTCCACCAAATCATCATAATCACCCGGGGCAGGCTACAATAGGCCAATCAGTGGCCGTCGTGCCGAGTGGACCCAGTTGGACTACACCCCCCACTAAGAGGAAAAAAGAACCTCATATACCCCCTCCCCAGCATTTAATTGAAATAAATATAACTTCTATCTATATTACTCTTCATGAGCAACGAACTCTAATTAATCGATGAAACTGTAGAAGTTGTCCCTGTGCGTAATTAAGTACCACGACATGAAGACGTGTGGAGGAGTAGCTGTATAGCTCGAAACATTCTTAACATCAACACTAGATGAACATGAAAGGTCAGCCTCATGCTCGGTCACCGTAACAGCCCGTAACTTTGCCGAACGAGCTACCCAAGCTCTAGCCGAAAATTATTAAAAAAATATGTAGACCTAACCCTGTAACAGGCCGTGGAAGCCCATAGGATTGTGAGACGTCGAGGCTCTCGCGATTTCTACATATTCGGCTCACAGGTGGCGGTGAGGTTGTCAGCCCCACGCGCAGACCGCCCTTTACCCCCATGAAAATTCCTGGTACTCATTTATGTTAGAGGTTGAGTCTACCCTTGGGTTATAGTGCGGCTGGAAGGATTAGGTCAATTGAAAAATTTAATGAACTCATCGGGATTTGAACCCGCGACCTTCCGGCGCCTCAACCAACTATGCTACCGCGTGCCCCGCCCCCCAGAAATTCGACCAGTAAATTATATCCTTCCACAAGGTAAATCTGTCCCTGTGCTTAACTAATTGAGCATTATGGCACGAAGATCTAGGGGAGTGGTTGTAGAGATCTACGTTCTCCTGACCTCGGCACTAGCTGGAGGTGTGCTGTCAGCTTCACGCTCCGGCCGCTTTACCCCCGGTACCCATTGAATAGCAGGCTGGGTGGGCCCCAAAACTGGTATGGACGCTGTGGAGAAAATTCTTTCCTGTCCCGGAACTCGAACTCCGACCCCTCTATCACCCAGCTCGTAGTCAGTAGCTATACCGACTGAGTTATTCCGGCTACTTGTAGCCTTCCCTTTACATATATAAAATTGTACGCGCGAGGTTTTATGAGTGTCATTACGCAATATCAGGTTACTATAGCAACGAACTGTAAAGTGGTACGAGGTTTTATGAACGTAAGTTACGTACTTACGAGCGAGCAAGCAATCTTCTGTTTCAGTGTCTCACCTGTGTGAGTGACTATACACTGAATTTGGATTGGTGAGTATCTATTAACCGCTTATACACTCACTCGTGAGTACACTTTACAGATCACTGTCACACACACACTAGTGTCCTCAGTCTACTACAGTCTCCACTATCCGTTTCCTGGCAACGGATTTAACACAGTAACTATAACAGTCTCACTTAATTACACATTCCAGATATCACACATAATGTCTTCTCTTGGTCCCCTCATTCTCAACTGACTACTTGCCCCAGACCGTCACGGTTATAACATCTCGGCACGAACCACATAGAAAACACCGTTCCTCTTTTACTGTGCCGTTATTTCGTTCGTGTCTGTTGCTGCTGGATCGTGTTTACTGAGCCGTGTCCTAGAAACGGCTCTGATATACTCGTATTTGCTTATCACCCGCTCGTTGCATAGTAACGGTTCTACACGCTATAGTATTATGTCTATTTTGTCAGATTTTTTAATATTTTGATGTGAATACATTAAATGTAGTATACTATAAAAAGGAGATTGTTCAAGACTGGCTTTGTGCGTGTTATTCATGGGAGATGGCGTTAAACGTCGTTCTCTTCGTGTCATCCAATAACATGCAGGACTGGAAACGAATATGAGTGAAATCTGAGGAAGTCAATAACACGAATGTTAGTTTAACAAATTGTGAGACTTCCATTTGAATTCTCCACGGATGTTACACCACTGATTATTAATTTAAACATTTTGTTAGCCTAACTACACAGATTATGAAGAAAAGTAAGCGTCATACTGACGCTGATCATTCTGAGCCCTTATTTATTTGATGATTAT